CACAGAATTCGTCACGGTCAACTCCGCCTCGGCGTACAGTTTCCTCCTTGCTCCTTTCGACATACTGATCTGGGTCTCAATTCTGGGCCACGTGGTTCTCATCGCGCTCATCTTCCGTAGTCCGTGGTTCGCCCTAAACATCTTTTGGGGCCTGTTGGGCATCCCGTATTTGAAAGCGTGGCGGAAGTCCAAGGTGCTCGTCATCGTTTCGTTATCTCTTCTCGTTCTCCAATTCTACTACGTGGCATTCTTCACGTCAGAAATTATCCTGCCCTTTCAACCCGTCCAGGTGGAGACCAATCATGACTTGTTTGTGACGAGGGGCTACCGTTACGTGAGGTCAAGTTGTGACAAGGCGTCCGATTATGAGGCATACGTTCAGCGTCATAATAAGAGTTTTCTCCGTTTCAAAATTAATCCCGCTCGGGAACACTTTCTCCTTATCGATCCGGCCTGCGAGGGGGATAAGGGGGAGTTCTATCGATGTGGCAAATTTGTCGGAAAAGCGGCGGACACTGTTCAGACAAAATTTACAAAGCAGAGGATCGCACAAGTGGGCAAGGTTTATCCGGCGTTTTACTGTAATGTGGTAAAAGAACGGTGGGACGTTGTCTATACGACGATGAATTATGATTCCCACATGTCGCAAAGTTTTGGAGAGTCGATGACTTATCTGCAATCGGGAGGAATTGATTTGTGCTTTGAAAGGATTTTCATGGCTGGGGCGGAAAGACAGGGAATGTCAGGGACCAAGACTGGTGGAGGTGGAAATGTGCATGGGCGTCCAGCAAGTGGACATTTGTTCTCCTTGCTTAAATTATGTGGGGTTATGTTTACAGTTTGTGGGGGGTGTTTGATAGGAGAAATTTTGGTCGGGAGGAAGTTTATTAGCAGATGGAAAAATGTGACGAAATTACAGACAAGTACATAATCCTAAATAAAGTAATAAATTGGAATTAGACGCGTTTTAAGAAATGTAAATTAAATTATTTCGTTAACAAAAATTTGCCCAATAACATATTTTCACGCTAGACAACGGATTCTGATAGTGAAAATTTCTCGAATCATGTAGGAATTTATTTATATTTTGAATAATTGATTAAACCTACAGCAAAGTACAAAAGTTATGCTAATTTTAAAAATAAGTACGTATTTAATAAAAGACAAATTATGTATTTTTTAGTTCTACTCTGTCAAAATTATTATTTTTTAATTCTTAAACTCACTGTCTCCATATTCTTAAGTATTATTATGCTGTACATACTCGGACCATAAGTGCCCGTACATGCATTTCTGGTGATAAATCAGAAAGTATTAGAGCTATTTGCTAGAAATTTTTATGGAAGGACAAGGCACTAATATTGTTTAGAAATCATAACTTAGTTTTCAAGATTTTCAAGATTTCAAGGGCTTATACGCAAGACATAACTCGTGACAGAAACTGCTCGCTCGCGGCACGCGGCGTTTTCATGATATAAGTGCTCCACACTTTCGTTAGGATGACTTCAGGCCATCCACGCTTATGTGAGATTTAGAACATACGTGTATCTATAATTTTGGCCACCGGTCATAATTTAGAGGACTAAGGTCTACAGATGCTGAGGACCGTTCCTGGGATGAAAAAAGTCAGCAAAATTCGTTCGAATCCATTTTTGGACAATTTTTGCAGAATAGTCGCCAACCAGAGCATCTTGAAAAGTCAAATGTTGGTTATCCAAGCGTTCATGGTCTATGAGATTAACTATTAGCTTTTGGAAACTCTGAAAATAAGTCTTTGGTTGAACTTGTACCCTTTGCGGCAAAAAACAGGGATTTGCATTTTCCATGCAACTGGCTCCTGTCAGATCCAGGGCGATAATTTCTGATTGACCTCTGCATACTAAATGGAATGTCAGGGTTCCGTAGAGCAAATATCTGGCAATTTTTTTCTACTAACTTTGTCTCGAAAGGCGAAAAGTCTGAAAACCTTTTGTCCTGAAAATGGCGCTTGCCGCGAGCGAGCAGTATCTGTCACGAGCTATGTCTTGCATAAAAGCCCCTGGACGAAATCTTGAAAACTAAGTTATGATTTCTAAACAATATTAGTGCCTTGTTCATCCATAAAAATTTCTAGCAAATAGCTCTAATAATTTTTGATTTATCACCAAAAGTGCATGTACGGGCACTTATGGTCCGAGTATGTAAGTACAAAGTTTGTACATGAGTAAAGTCATGTGATTCGCACTTCTTCTCTTGGCATTCTACATACTATATACATACTTTATACATACTATATAAATTCTATATAATTCTATACATTCAAATTCCATATCGTTTCCAAATCATGCATTCAATTCATGCATGCATATGAATGTATGTATGAAGCGTCTACGTGACTGACAAAATTAGCTAAGTTGCCAATAATTTTATAAATTGTAACAAATAAATATAACTTGCATACCCACCCAATTTTTCGGGTTTGCATTTCATGTCTTATTCGAAGAAAAAAATATCATTCTTCCGCCTTACCACCTTAAATGATTATGCGATTATCTTTTAATGCAGGATTTACATATACCAACTGTCAAGAAGCAAAGGAAATACAATAAAGTAATAGACTTATACATACATACCTACTCGTGGAAACGTACATAAACATCTATATATTTATATGTATACATGTACTTGCAGACTTGTATCTGGGTTATAAGTATGTGTTCTCATTTGCATATTCGGATAACACATCCCTTGTAAAATTGCAGACTTTTCACCCACAAATTCTTACTTCACCCCAATCAAATCGTATGTATCCAAATGACCATCCCACTCATGTTCAAGTTGGCGTTGAACGTTGATCAAAAAATGTCCGACCTCATCTCTCCTGAGGTCGGACGGCGTTGGACGTGGTCAAATAATTTGGGCTGTTCAACAGATCTTCCACTTCGTCATTCTCGGTTTTTGTTCGTTCATCTTTGATCTGGCATTTTTTTTAAATTTGCTCCTAAATCTCATTCTCGAGGCGGTCGTCACATTTTGTGACAACTCGTCTCATCTTGAGCATGGGCTACTTTGGGGGGATTGCCTTCATGGGAGGAATCTTCGTCTGGGTGACGACATTATCAACATCATCGCCCACGATGATGGATCTGGATCGACAACTCCAGGATAGTAAGTCGGACAAGATTTTATGTTAATTTCCACACTTAGCAAAATGAATTGAAAATTAGTTTGCAACAAGCTCTTCGCCACATTCAGGCTTTACCACGCTAGTAAAAATTTGGAATCGAATTGTGTCAAATATTTTAGAGGAATTTATTAATAAAACGCCATATACTGCACAGTTCTGAAGACACCCATTTAGATAATTATATGTATGCATGTAGTTGCTTACATACTTAATTGCAGGATTTCATACATAGATAATTTTCCAACATAGACAAACTTTCACTTTTACCTTCCAAATATACAACGTCAGACAGCAATTTGGTTATCCAAACAAATTTAAATGCATGGTTACACAACGTGACGTCAAATTGGGCAATTAGACATTTAAGTAATTGGATAAATGTGTAGACGTGTGGAAGACAACTACATTTCTTCAGACGTATGTATGTATATATGTATGTATTTATAAATATATACATGTACATATGTATGTATTCCTGCATTTCCGTATCGTTGTCATCCATATAATTTACTAAAACGACTGGTTAGACAATATTGTTGCTGACGTCTGTTGATATTTTAATTACATGTTTTAATGCATATGGACAACTATTTAAGCGTAAAAATAATTCTGATATGACATCACATTTTCACGCACCTTCTTCAGCAGTGAATATTTACTTACATATTAGATTTTTTTGAAGCAAAATGTTGCTAAATTTAATTCTCCCAGAGATGAAAAACCAGGAGAATGAAGCTCCTTTTCAGGATTCTGCTCTTCTGCTCGTCCATGATGCATTGCTGCATACACATTATTGGCTTTGTAATTGGCGGTGTAAACATACTCTTAATAATTCTAAGAACATTGGACAGAATGACTAACCTTGAACGGTCCAATTTTCGAAAAATTTCCGAATATGTGACAAAAATGGGGACGTATCGTCAACTTCAGGTCACGAATCAAGTCATCAATCAGCTCAACGGGGAAATATTACCCGTACTTATTTTACTAATTGTCGTTGCTTCTGTCATGATGGGATTTATGATTGTCAAAATGACGGGGAGAGTACCGGGCATGCTGGTATTTCTCGAGGTGACGCTAACTTTTGCGATTCTTTTGTTTATCGAGATAGGATTTCCTTTGATGAGCGATGTGATTAGGAAATCTGCAGATTTTATAAGGGCAGTAAAATTAGATGAAGGCTGTTCGAGTTACAGAAAAAGACAGGTGAAGAGTTGTCAGCATCTCAAGATTTTGGTAGGTTCATATTTTTGTATTCATAAGGGGACACGAATTGAGTTGTTGAGCTTGATTGCGTATTATACGATGTCGTTGGTAATCTCGATGTGAATTGTGTATTGCATTTAATATACAGAGTACTGCACTTTTAGAAAATTGGTATTGAATCATTACTAGCCGGAGTAAATACGGTGAGGAAATTTTCAGTATGCAGAGACAAATATGCAACTGACATTTATGTAAAGACATATATGCAACATCGTTGCATATTTGTCACCCCGTCGTAAATATTTGCCTACATATGTACATACATATAAGGAATGGTATTGGTAATGTTATGGCAATAAAAAATTTATCACTCGGAATAAACTACTGCCAATCCGGTAGGAAATTACTACCAAATCATTACCAGTATGGAGAGTATATGTGACTCTACCGGATTTTTACAGTGCGTGTATTGTATATTTCGTGTCTCGTTTCAAACTAAAAAAACAGAATACGTAAATGGATTATGGTTAAATATGATTATGCACAATACAAGCGCATAATTACTAAGCTGTCATTATATTTATAAGACAGTTTAAATATTGGGAAATAATAAACGCATATGAGTTCACTCTTTTCAAAATTGTGTGTGTATATTTATGTTCTTTACTTACTTAAAATTCCAGCATCATAAAATAAAGTTGATTTTATATGTATATAAATAATGCACATTTATGATTTAATTTTATTCACTGTTTCCATCTTCATCTTCTTCTTGAGGAAACTTGTCTCTCTTGGATTTTGGCAACTTTTCCCTCGCCCTCCTCGCCACCACGATGCCATGTGTCCTGAGGTGCAAGTCCAACGTGGTTTTGATAGCGAACCCTTTCCCGCACTGGTCGCAAACGAAGGGCCGTTCTAGCGTGTGGACTTGGCGGACATGTGCCTCCATAAAGCACTTGCGGGGAAATGCTTTCTCGCAGTGGGGGCATTTATGTGGGGTGGGGGTGACGTATCCAGGAGTGTGGATCCGCTTGATGTGAATATTCAAATGTTTCTTCGCTTTGAATCCGAATCCACAGTGAGAGCAGAGATGAGGACGTTCATCCAAGTGATATTTCTTGTGTTGCGTTAATTGACCCGTGAATGTAAAACGGGCATCACAGAGCTAAAAATTGTGGAAAAATTCGGTGTTTTACATGAGTTCCGAAAAATAAGTATGACAATTTCAATACATACATCGCATGCAAACGGTTTTTCTCCTTTGTGTCTTAACTTGTGTAGTTTTAGTCCATTGTCGCTCACGAAGGTCGACCCACTATTGGCAAATTGATACAGATTTTAATTCCTTCAAAATTATGAAAGTTAAGAAATCCAGGAAGACAATTTACTTATTTACCATTCTTCACACACTAACGGATCCTTCCCGTGTTCCCTAATTTCGTGCGCTTGTAGAGATGACGCCTCCATGAATTTTTGCCCACATGTTTCACACTGCTTTCTATGAATTTTTTCATGCATCCGATCCATATGAATTTTGAGGTTGGTAATGGTGGACACTACTTTGTGACATATTGGACACTCCCTTTCCTTATTGGTGGTGTGCTCGCGATAAGTGTGTCGCTGTTTAGCGGTGGGGTCGATAAATGTTTCGGAACAGTGGTCACATTTGTACTTCTTTTCACCAGTGTGCAGACGGAGGTGTCTGGAAAAGAGAAAGTTATTCTTTAATTTTGAGGGAAATTGAACATTTCAGTTTGGACAAAGTCAACAGAATTCTGGTTACCAGCAGTGTTTACCTTTCAAATGCTGTCCTTGTAATCACTTCTAATCCACATTGGTCACACCGAAATTGTTTATGCTTGTACTCCACGTGTGTCGTGAGGCGGTACTGGGTAAGAAATCTGGCATCACAAACGTCGCAAATAAACGGTTTGACCCCTTCGAGGTCGTGCTGGTCCAAATGGTTTCGGAGGTTGAGCTCGAGGCAGAATTTCTTATCACATTTCGAACACGGGAATATTTTCTCCCCAGACTCATGCTTCATGACCATGTGGGCTTGGAAAGATTTTTTCAGCCAGAACCTTTTATTACAGACGCCGACGTCACATTTGAATGGAGTCACACCTTTGTGTTCTTTCTTTAGATGACGGTTGAGTTCTTCCTTTTTGTCAAATTGTGAGGTACAGATGGGGCATGGAAAATTATGATCTTTTTCCAAGTGACGGTTTAGCTCTTCTTCGGTGTTAAATGATCTCCAATTACAGCGGTTGCATTTGTAGGGGAGGCGATTGTTTTTCTTGAGTTGGTCAAAGTCGGAGGGAACGTATTCGTCGTCGTCATCATCGTCTTCGTCACCGGAAAGGTTAGATTCGTCACCCTCTGACTCGCTCGAGATGGGAGGAGATTTAACTTGTAGTGTTTTCTTTGGCGAGAGTTTTTCAGTTTTTTTCTTGGGTTGCGATGTATGATGGGGTAGAGTTTTTGCTTTGATTGGGGTCGGTTTGGTAGTTTTTTGTTTAATTTTCTTAGGCCTTGAAAGCTCTAGTTCTGAATAGTTGATCGCTTTCCGTTTTCGACCCCTTAAAGTATATAATATTGTAATTAATCATTTCAAATAATTAAAAATTATTCAAATATTTACCTAGTTTTTACAACCTCTTCTTCACTTTCTTCCTTAAAGTTATCTGGAGTAATGTGAAATGGAAAATCGTCGTCGTTGTTGGCATCTCCTTGACTATATTCTTCTTTAACTCGTGAAACTTCTTGTTCGCCAAGGTTCGCCGGTGAGAATGGGAGGTCATCATCGTCGAAATAATTGTTGGAAAATTCATCCTCGACATGATTCGTTTCAACTTTGACCTGGGCCTCCACAGGTCCACAATTTAACGCCTCGTTGTCGTGCTGACCTGATAATACGGAATCATATGTTTCTACATTTCACATTTTAAACTATTGTGTATGGATTTTAAGATAAGTCCTCCCATCTTATCACAGGACTTACTCAATCACCTAAACCATGAATTTCAAATTTGCCAAAGTTTCCCATACCTGTCAAGACTAGTAGCGACTCTCTTATCACAATTAAATCCTCCACTCCCTCATTTTCCGGTGGCGACGAATCAATAATTGTTTCTCGAATTTGTACCACTTTTCTGTTAATTTGAACCTCTAATTCAGAAATTTGAGTACGAAAACTTCTAATTTCTTCCGTAATGTGGGAGCAGTCTTTACACACATTGTATTCTACGTTCTCTTCGATTTTATGACTTGAATTTGACCTGACTACCGAAGGAGGAACAAGTAAATTTCGCAATTCGTTAATTGGAATTTGTATTTTCAAAGAATTTAATTTTGATTCCTCTTCTTCGTCCGGCAAAGAGGTCAAGCACAAAAGGCAGTGGGTCGCTGTCATGTCGAATATCTGTTATTTGCGAATTAATAAAATTAATTAGATACATGTATACAATTCAAAATAATTAAAATTTCAAATTTATAAACTTTTATGAACTAAATGAATTGAAGATTTCTTGTCAGTTGAGAAATGTTGTGATAAATGAATATTTAGGGAACATTATTATTTTATTACAAATTACCTGACTAAATATGCGTACTCAGTTTTTAATTAATTACGGCAGCGACCATGAAAAATTTCGCAGTTTATTTTGCACTGTCAACTGTTCTATATTTTTTGTTGACATTGATTTGAGCCGAGTTTCGTGCCAGTCTCAGTCTCATTTTAACTCGTGTATAAATTGAGATGGGGAACGGGAACGTCCCTAAATTACCTGTGTCAAGCAAAAATTCCGAATTTTCAGACCCTTCCCCATTGTCATGGGTTACACCCTCTTTTAACATGTGGCGCAAATGGGGCTGTTACGTAAAAAATTTACCCTCACACCTCCCTCAGCCGTGCCATAATTTATGGACATCCCCTCAGTCTGCATCTAAAATCTAAATCAGAATAAAATACATGCAATTTTTTTAGAAGGGCCATTAAAAAATTAACATGTCTCAAGTTAATCGGCGAATTTTATGTCTCACCAAGTTCACACGAACGAGTTGAATATCTAAATGACATGCAAGTGAGAATTGAACACATTACTCATTCCTTCTTGCACCACGATTGCAATAGAAACAAAGTTGCGGTCATCAAAGTCGACATAGGTTCCCCTACAGTAAAATGAGCTTCAACTCCAATAGAACAACATATTTGAAACCCTTGTGGTTCGAAAGGCTTAACGTTTCCGAAAGCAAGGAATTAATCCGAAGTTACCAGACGAGTGTGGTTTACATCTCGGTGGGTTATGTCGTTCTAACGTTTTTGGGGAGATGGTGGATGAGAAACCGGAAACCCTTCAAGCTCAGACGACCTCTCATCGCTTGGAATTTGATTCTGGCCATTTTCTCCACGATTGGGTTCTGGAGGACGTTCCCAACATTTGTCGCCTTGCTGACACAACCCGATGGAATCTACAGATCAGTTTGCACATAGTAAGTACATCAATAATAGAGGTCAACGCCGACAAATTTTGGTGATTTTGCAATATATGTACTGACGTTCGGCGGGGTTGACCTCTGATTCATATATTCACGTGGTACAAATTCATACCTGGAATATTACTTTGTAGCGACTACACCTCTGACACGGAGGCGTTCTGGGGTCTCATGTACACCATTTCCAAGCTGTTTGAGTAAGTAGCATGCAAAGTGCAGGGATTAAATCCGAAGTTATTTATTTACTTATTTATATGGTTTGATATACATAGATTTGTAGACACGGTTTTCATAGTACTGAGAAAAGCTCCTCTCTTATTCCTTCACTGGTAAGGTGCTGCAGATTCAGTATTCTAGGATATCGTGATTATGTACATATGTATGTATGTAAGGCATTGCAAGGTGACACTTTTTTAGGTTTCATCACATGTCGATGGCCATCTTTATGTTTTATCTCTACCCGATCGGGGACCCTGTCGGGCGATGGGGTGGTATTCTTAACTACGGTGTTCACAGTGAGTGGACATTATTACTTATCTGAAAAGTGTTAATTACGTAATTATACATTGCATTGGTGTATAATCTGAACCCTTTTTAGGCATAATGTACTCCTACTATTCAGTCAAAATGGGTGGGTTTCAAGTCCCAAAATCGGTATCCTCAATTATTACGATGCTGCAAATGGGGCAATTTGTCCTAACACTATTTGCTAATGTGTATGCTTTGGTCATGTTTGGTGAGTAAAATATATACAAACCATTAGCTATTAGGTTTGCTTACTAGGTATACTATTTAGGTGGGTGGAGAGTTCTAATATCCCACTATATGCAAATATTGCACACTATATCGGTGTGAAACAATATGCAAAAATTTCCGTGTTAAAATCACTTTTGAAAAAGTAATGACGATTTTAGTGACGCAAGTCTAGGAATTGTCTCAATGCTTTAATAAAGGTGAAATTTTTGCTTTTGACCTCCTTTACGGACTACACTCTCTCTCCACCTCTGGCGGAGACATTGTTTCGCTACGGTTCTAATCATTGTCCAAAATAGCCGTCCAAAATGTCCAAAAAGCCGAAAAGGGCTAAAATGTTGCAATTTCTTCGTTACATTTTTTTGAAAATCTAGGTAGATATATTTTATTCTCCTTGTTAAGTCGTTTTGAGAATTTATATAGTATTATTCGGAATTTTGTGTTTAAATATGTTTTATTATGAGAAATTACGAAATTTTCAAATTATGCTGTATTACAATTCAAAATTCTCATAATTAATGGGAGATTGCATATTTTGGCAAATATTTGAAAGACAGTGATACCTAAAAAAATGTAACAAATAAATTACAACATTTTTCTCCATTTCCTATTTTGGACACATTTTGTGCTTTTTGGACATTTTGGACGGCTGTTTTGGACAATGATTAGAACCGTAGCGAAACAATGTCTCCGCCAGAGGTGGAGAGAGAGTGTAGTCCGTAAAGGAGGTCAAAAGCAAAAATTTCACCTTTATTAAAGCATTGAGACAATTCCTAGACTTGCGTCACTAAAATCGTCATTACTTTTTCAAAAGTGATTTTAACACGGAAATTTTTGCATATTGTTTCACACCGATATAGTGTGCAATATTTGCATATAGTGGGATATTAGAACTCTCCACCCACCTAAATAGTATACCTAGTTAGTAATTTTAACCCTCGTTATGTTAAATTCTGCAGGTATCGGGTACCCTTGCGCTCTGTCCAACATGACCATTTTCATTCAGTTCGTCGGAGGGACTTCATACCTGATTTTGTTTGCCAATTACTATTATCAAACCTATGTTAAACTTAAGCCAAAATCTGCATAATATGTATGGGCATATATAATTTTGTTTGATTGTGCATACATTTCGTGATTTTGTAAACCAAATGTCAATGAACCAAGGTATGAACTTGTAGCAGTACTTTAGCTATGATATAATAAAAGTTTGAACCCCAGGACCAAGCTATTAAAAAATACGAGTATTTTCTACAACCATCTCTTCATTTTGAGACAGGCTATACACGTGCCTCAATTTGACCTTAATAAAAATAAAAATAAAATATGTTGATCATGTATGTAAATGGGCAATTTTTATGAATTCAATTTTATGCACATATTTATGTTTGCACTTAAGGTAATTAATGAGTCGTAAGTTTAATTGCATGGACTTTCAGGGAAAATATTCGCCACAACAAGCATATTAGTCATGTGACGGAAAAAACTGTCCTCAAATTCCAAGATAATTTCATGATTCGTGTCACACGTAAATAAATCCAAACGCTTATGTATTTCTCTACCAAAATGGACAAACATCTCTTCAAAAAAAAGAATCTCACGGTGCGACAAGACAATTGACATCATGTGGCGAGAAATTTCTAAAATTTCAGAAAATAAGAAAATTAATGACTTCCCGTCCATGAGAAATTTTAGGCATCGCACGAGTTAAAGGATATAAAATTAATGGATTTTATCAATACAATTTTTTCATCCGTCTATGAACTAGATATTCTGGGAGTGTCGCAATCACGTGACAGAATTATTTCCCAATCGACTGCATACATATCCAGTTGCATATATTTCTGTGGAGTTATTATTCTGCATTTACATATTGATCGTTGCTGTCCACAGTTATTTAGTTTTCCATCATTTAAAAAGATTTAAGTCCCTACGTACGTACACGTCCTGCAATGAGTTCTGCCGAGAAGCGATTAGAAATTTTATACGAAGGCTACTTCTATGACGTCACGGAATTTGTGAAACGACACCCGGGAGGAAATGTAATCCTGTTCTATACCGAAAAAGGGGAAGACGCAACCCAGGCCATTCAACAGTTTCATAACCGATTCATAAACAAGATCAACCTCATGCTGAAGTCTTTTCATAGACGACCTGCGTCAGACTCCGAGGGTACATAATTTTTCGTGGCTATCAATTTCGAAATTTTGAAAACTCCACCTCGTTACAACAATTCTAAATTTACTGGATTTTATAATTCAACAGTTTCCGACGACCCAGGAAGGCTGAAACGTCATCGCGGACTGACGGATGATTTTGCGAAACTATTTGTCGACATAACGAAGGAAGGATTGTTCGAACCGTCGTACGGGAGCATTCTGTGGCGAATGTGGGAATGTTGCTTTTTTTGGGCGATGGCTGTCCTGTTAATAAATTCGTCGAGCTTCCCCCTCCAACTTCTTGGGTGTGGTTGTTTCGCCATGGGGTCGGGTCGAGGAGGTTGGCTAATGCATGAAGGCGGGCATCACTCCTTGACGGGTAAACTTTGCATAAGTAACAAAAACTAGTCATCAATCATGATGGAATTAATTATCTTGCAGGGAACCACAGGGTGGACAGATTTTTGGAGTCTGTCTTCATTGGTAAGTGCTGGTCTGGTAGTGACGGGTTTCGTTGCGTCATCATTTCATGAGCTGCCTGATTGAATTTGATTATGCATAACAACATATTTACTAATTTGCCACAGGGATATTCTTGGGCTTATCGGGAGGCTGGTGGAGTCGAGGTCACAACAAACATCATGCTATGCCCCAGGTCAAGTCCCATCATTAAGATCTCTCCAAACTATTGAGAGTAATTTAGAAATAAACGAAATAAATTCCACCATTTTCAGAGACTTCATTACGACGTCGACCTCAACACGATGCCATTTTTAGCATACAATGCCAAAGTTGTTAAAAATCCTGATCAAGGGAAATCGTTTTTAATTCAAAATCAGGTAAGTCCAAGAGTCATTGCTCATCATGAATTTCCAAATAAATTGGAACTGGCCATGAAAACTGATAATGTGCACATGTTTTTTTTATCAGACTTGGCTATTCCTCTCGATGGACTGCTTTTTTGGCTACTGGGCTTGGCGAATCTACATCTGTCCCCGGAACGCTATTAAACGAGGAGATTACTTGGACCTGGTGATGATGGCGATTCACTGGTACGCCGCCTACTCCATGATCCCCAATTGGTGGACCTTCTGCCTGTCTTACTGGCTCGGAGCGAATTACATGTTTGGTAATTTCGCCTTGTCCCACACCCACCTTCCCGTCACCGAGGAGCAGACCCATTGGGTCGAATACGGTCTCACGCACACGGCCAATGTGAAATCCACCCCCTTCGTCGACTGGTGGATGGGCATGCTCAACTTCCAGATCGAACATCATCTCTTTCCTACCCTCCCACAATTCCGGGCACATTTAGTACAGGACCGAGTTAAAGCATTGGCGGCGAAGTATGACCTTCCATATCACGACATTCCTTACAAGGATGCGTGGATAATTACCCTCAAGAATTTTAGCGATGTGGCAAAACAGTTCAGAGAGTGAATACATGTTGAATTTTGCTATTTTTAAAGTATTTGTTCGTTGTTTAATTGTGCGATTAGCTGGACTACTAATAAATATACTTCTCCTTGTATGGAATAAATGGATATAATTAGCCGCTGACTCACTGGCTGAGCGAGTTTGTCTTGTATCCAAGGCGTCATCATCATTTTTATGTGGTTTTTTATGAGACAGACACCGCAACTTCCGGTCCATGAGTATTTAAGTATGCATGCTTTTTGCACAATTTCCCAGACATAAATTATTATTGCATCATTCTATGTTAGATTCTTAACGCATAATCCTGATTCAAAATGTCTTTTATAAAATTAGAATGTTTGTTAAGTGTTATAATTTTTACGGCTTTCATTAACCCCTCGTCCACACAATTTCGTGGGAGTAGCAGAAGGACGGAGTCTTCGTGTGAAAAGCTGTACATTATTTTATCTATAAGCTTTTTAGTGTACTTAAAATAACTTGGAGACAAATAGTCACCCGCGGAGAGGCACTATAAACTATTTATGGTACTCTATTTTTGGGGAATGATTAAGGAGACGTTTTATCACCAAAGTCAAATAAGTCAAAAGCTTATGTACCAAAATATAAGCAATGTCGCTATTAGAAATTAAATAGTTTCATGTAAAAAAAATCTGACATTCAGGTAATAAAAATGTCATTTTTTTAGATAAAGCCGTCACGTGCATTTGGTGCATGAGTTTTTGACGTATTTTCCTTTGGCGATAAAATGCATCCTTAATCATTACCCAAAAATGGAGCACTATTGTACTTCTGGGGACCACAATTTGCCTCCAATTCATATGAAGCACCTATCGGGTGAATGAAATACTTATGAGTAATTAAAATTGTTCTCCAAGCAGGAACAGTGCAGGAAAAGAGTATTTGCTGGATCAGGAGTCACAACGATGTTATCTCGTTGGCTCTCGAGGACCGTGTGGGGAGTTGATGACATTTTATAGAAATCCATCCAGGAGATTTTCCAAGTACGGGTTTTGCGACTGTGACCAGGGAAATGTCGACAATGACGCGCCCTGCAAAGACAGCCCAATCCGGAGAAGAGTTTACATCCATGCAGATAGACGCTGTTACACCGTGTTTTCACAGGTATGTATACTCTTAAATAACCGGTAATAAATTATTAATGACCGGAGTACATATGTATATATGTAGAGACTACCGGCACTGGTAATAATAGGTATTATAGTTTAGTTTAGTAATATGTGATGATGAATAATTTACCACTTAGAAACAAACTACTACCAATCCGGTGACAAATTATTACCAAATCAATACCAGTACGAAATATATAGGTATGTGACTCTACCGGATTTTTAACATTGGATACTCCGCACTGGTATTTATTTGGTAGTAATTTCCTACCAGATTGGTAGTAGTTTGTTTCTGAGTAGTAAATTTTTCAACATTACTAAACTGGTATGCTAGTTATTACCTTTCCGGTAGAGTCACAGCCGGCCAGTAATAATTTAATACCACTTTTCTAAAAGTATATTTATGAATGGTCAGGCTCACTGCAAAAGCGGACAATGGTTGGTGCTGGACGAATCTGAAAGTCGAGGGGTCTGCGTCCCTAATCCGTGCTTGTCACGTGGGAAATCTCGCGACACGGATGACCAGTTCTGGTTTTATGACCCCTTAAGACGACAGTGTTACAAGTCATTCTCTCAAGGATACTGCCCCCAAGGACAACAACTCGAACTCGTGCATGATTCGCAGTACCCGGAGTGCAGGACTCCAAAATGTTCCTCCAGCTTGGCCTATGGCATCCGTTCCGTTGTTTCTTGTCAGAGTGGGAGCAGATTTAGCTACTTGACTCGTTCCTGTAGTAAATCTCTCTACACAAACTTCCTTGGATTTGGTCGTATCGGTTGAACAAACGAATTAGCGACATATGCAAATACAGATTGTATTTAAGTAATTATATGTCCAACAGGTTACTACTTATCAAGTATTAAAAATATGTATATTTCCGTAAATGTAATTTTATTCGCCATTCTATACAAATGTACGAAGGAGGGTAAATAAATTGTGTGAATGTTAAGTAGTTGATAAAGGACGCTATTTGTTCCAATTCATTTTGTGGCATTTCAATCCAAATCTTCCCAAATTCAAAACAACATTCAGCTCGATAATGCATCAATTGTTTTAGGGTTGCGATGTTTAAATAAATTTATCCAACCGTTTGATAAATTATACAGAATTATTGAATCATCCACTTTTTTTAAAAATATATGTATGTACCTTGAGTAAATTTACACATATTTATGTACATAGAGTGTGAGTCAAAATATGAAAAATAATCCCGACCCGCAACAATAATTCTACTATATGTATGTAGATACGTATAGTCAAGTTATTGGACTAGTCACCTCATTTACATATTTTTGACTCATTTTTAAGAAACATCTATAGTACAGATATCTACAGTACTGTACTACAGAGACATGAGTTTATTCAACATGGGAAGCCCGATAATGGGCATCGTGAGATTTATGCAAATAAGGTGATACGCCTAAGTACCTATGTAGTTAGTTTTAATAGTAGTCATTAAACACACATTCACGTGCCCTTTTAGGGTTCATCCACTTCTCTCTGAATATTAGTTACCACGATTTAAATATATCCATGTATGTATCACTTGGGTTTACGTATGTATGTTATGTATGCAGCCCTATATCATTTTCATGTACCTTTGACGAAAATAGAGGCAAGGGCCAGGGTACTTACATGCATGTACATGTACATATCATTTACTGCATGTTGGTGACAATTGAGCTTAAAATACATTATCCTGAGTCAAGTCCAAACTACGGAACATTACGGTACTTGTCTTCTCCCCGAGAGGATTGGAACTTGTAGCTGCTCCAAATCGAGCCACAAGGAGATAAAATAATACGAATATGAGATACACTGTGTACCGTAAGTAAAGATAAATTTATTATATTTCATTCTTAAACATTTTAATTCTGAATTTTATGTATTTCACAAATTTTCTAGCAACTGAGGCACTGGACCTCATCATGTCGAGGTTGACAACAATTAGGCTAATAGACAAAGAAAATGGTAATTAAGCAAAAAATAATTCCAATGACTGGGTGAAATGAAAAGTGTATATTTATTTTTTTTACGATTTATCTAGAAATGGAAAAATCTGCTCGGTCAGTATTCATGAATCACGTGGTAAGTTGGAATAATGCAAATTAATAAAGTTATGAATTTGATCAGCTATTTTGACCTGCAAGATTTGCACGTCGCAAGATGGCGGGTCGCATGGCGTGGCGCTTTGCTCGTTGGCGGGTCGCTAGATGGCTCATGCATATTTCTTGCAGTTCCTAGCATCTTGCATTTCTTTCACTTTGCATTTCTCCCTTTTCAGTGCAAAAACGTAGCAAATCCACAAAAAATGAAACATTCCAAGTCACATTTCATCTTATCATCAAGTACTACAAATAATTTCATATTTCAGATCCTCACCGCCATTTTCACCCATTTGCCCACCTCCGCCCTCAAAACCGCTCGCCTCGTCTGCCAACTCTGGGAATCCATAGCGACACCCTTTCTGGGCGAAAAATCCGTCCTCGTCCCCACGAAAATGTTCCCTTGCTGTAAATCTGCCCGTATTCCCTACGTAAATCCCAAACTCGTCAGAAACATTAGATTAGACAACCACTGCAGAACAGGAGAATGTAAGGGGGACGGCAAAGACATCGACCAGCGCCACGACTTTTTGTGCAAAATAAAGAACAACGCCGGCCTCAGTGTTAACCCGTCTTTGCAAAAAGTTTTTGACAACTTATCCACCCGATATTCCGAGCACATTGAACAAGTTCGTTTAAGACTTATAGCGGAATACATACCCCGTTCGAAGGACAGGACTAGGTCCGTGATACATCTTGCGTGCTACAACTTTTCCGAGCTGCCAAATATCTGCCTTGTTACGATCGAGAGGCCATCATCCATACGGGGGCAAGCGATGGAGATCAAATTCGACAAAAGGCTTCCGGTACCCTCGGAGCTGAAAAAACTGTACCTTTATCCCTGCGCGATACACTTGCAGCACACCGGTCCTTTCAACTCGAGCGAGAAACTTATGATTTTGTCGGAGGAGGAAGAAAAGTTGTCAAAGCCGAAAGCAGTAAAGGAACGAAGAAGGGATAACATTCCTAGGCGGGACGAGGTTATGGAGACGGTGAAGGTTACGTATGAAGTCGTAAAAATCTTTGAGGAAACCCTTGTGCCGATCGATGTACATATAATTGACCATTTTTTTGAGTAATGTACAGGGTGGTTTAAATGTCAGGTTACAATGGAAATTTTTCAATGGGAAAAATTCGTAAATTTCCATTAGTTACGGATTTGGGATTGAGATTTTTATCAAAAATTTGCCATTTTTTTTATCAAAACTTATGGTATGGAACACGATGACAAAATTCTTAAATATTGAATTTCAGAGGCAAAATTTCGGTAACTAATGGGGATTTGTGAATTTTTCCCATTGACAAATTTTCTATTGTAACCTGACATTTAAACCACCCTGTACATAAATATTTAGTTGACTATTGACTGATATTTATTTCACAGGTACCAGTTCTACCACCAGTCCCATACAATACTAGGAAAGAAATGAAAAGAGCCGTGCAAGCCAGACCGCCCGTTCGGAAATATAGACTTCATCAACCACGAAGGAACTGAGTAATTTAAATTGAATATTTATAGGTGGATGATATGTGCTAATTTTTAATAGTATCCCGATTTAGACTTAAAATCTTGGCTGCATGCGAGAGTAATAACTATTATTTAATATTTGCTTAAGTTTGTTGTCTCGCATCTAAAATTTATGCATTTCATTTAAAATAAAATTATGGTGGTCCGACAAATGTGCAAACGATAAATGTGCAAATGTTAATTTATGCTTCAATTTAGCATGATTTTATTCCATTAGTAAGTCATAGTTACGTACAAAATATAGGCAGAATTGCATATGAAGAGTAACAACACATAAAAAATAGTTTACTTGCGTTGGAAATTGTTTTCAAATTTTAATTATCTATTTATTTTCTGTTAATGGGAGAAAGCTTTCATATCTGAAAATTGACTTGGTACACGTTTCCTAATGGGAGTGGGGAACCACAACTTGAAATGACACATTTTTGTTTAGAGTGAACTAAATCTGGATGTTCTAATGACACATTTTTGCTACTGAAAAATAAAAATAAAAATATACTAGTCACTAGTTAAAAACTTAGTAATTTTTGGGGAATGCATAAAATTGCATGAACAGCGAGTACGGCTTATCCTGATCAAATTAATAAATCAGCGTTTGTAACAATCATAAATTTAGCATGATCAGTGGTGCTTCAGAATCAATGAAATTATCACCGAATTGGGTTTTTGAGATCATGAAATGGCTTGAGATTAATACGATTTCGTGCGTTTTTGCACTTTCTTAGCTGATCAATAAGATTACCTTAACCTGATAAAATTAACAAATTAGCAATTTGTAGCAAACAGAAATTTAGCATCATCAGTGGTGTTTCAGAATTAATAAAAATATCGCCAAATCGGATTTTCAGATCTGCGATTGCATGAAGTCGTTTAAAGTTGGCTTTGGTTCTTTTAGTTTTACAAATTTTTACGGTGGCCTGAATTCGAACATTTCTAAGAAACTGTTTCGATAAGTTGTTAACTTTTGCTGAAACGATTCCAACGTAACTGCAAACGGGGATCGAGTTACAGTAGCCAACTGGTAAGATGAAGAGGCCAGGATTGGCTAGAAAATCTCGCCAAAGCCGGATAAAAATTACTGTGCAGAAAACACACACCATCGACAAGGTGGATAACACGACTGGCAAGAAAAATGGACGAAATATTTCGTTAAACTGAATTTCCAGTAATTTGAGGTTCTGATAATTTGATATCAGAACGTTGTAGTTGAGAAGGTTGAGACGTCCGGATCTACATATCGAAAGTGAAAGATGCAAATTTTTGTAAACTCACTGGTCACATCTGTGATATAAATAAATTACAGGTCTACAATTCGCACAGTATTTCGCACTAACCTTTTCAGATTTCGAAGACACAAGAAGAAACATGTCAATGGAATGATGAATAAATGCAGGAGATTACAAAAAACAAAATTAACCACTGTAAAGAACACCACAAATTGGAAAAACAACGAAACCAAGTAAATTGTCGGGTTCCAGATGTGACATTCTCCAACTTTTTCGAGAAACAGAGACCAAATAAATGGTGGAAAGCAAGGATTAAACAGAAATAATAAACCCAACAATGCGATTATCAATGAAGGTGAGAGTCTGAACTGGATCGAAAGAATTCGCGTAATTTTCAAGATGTAATATTCCAAGGAGTTTGTCTCTAGTAAACAATTTAATTTTTTAAGGGTTAACATTGTTAGTATTTCTATTGAGGGTATTCATTAAGAGTTCGCATCATTAGCAAAAAAATGAAGTTCGCAATGTCTTACAAAATTTTGGGTTGCAAATTTATTTGCGAACTTGTCTCCAAGGCTACCATATAATTTAGTTTGCAATTTTTTAAAGGACTATTTTACGATTGCGAGCATGTGAACGTAATGAATACCTCCATTATATTTTTTTTTTACGTATTTATGTATTAATAAGAATACTAACGTATTTTCTCTGAATAATATTTGGCTTCCATGTCAAGCATTGAATTTTGAAACGCTATGATTTCCCTTGCCTTCGTGTACATCGGGATGGCTATCAGATCCATGAATATGATACAAACTCCAATCGAAAACGTGACAATGGTATCCGTTGGGGTTAAAACTTTTACAAAGTTCTGCAAATACACGGAATTAATGATAACAAAAATTCCATAAATGTAGACAGATAAGGCTGTAACGTAGTAGATAATTTTTTGACGGGTTCTAAAATCTGCAATTTCGAAACGTTGTTTTGCTGGGTCCCATCGAAAAAGTGTTAAACTCAGTTTGCAACACAACCAGAGATGAGCTTTCATCTCTGGGAGAAGCAAATTTAGCAACATTTTCCTTATCAATTCAGTGTTGAAGTAGATTTTAAAAATATGTATGAGTTCGATTGAAATTATTTTAACTCTTAAATACACAACTAGCCATGTAGGTTAAGTGCAATTACAATTAAAATTACAAGAGACATCATATCCATTGTGTAACACCCAGACATCTAAATGCATAAGTCAATTTCTTAATAGCGATGCGGAAATGCAGGAATATTTCCACATGCAGCCAATTGTGCATATTTGCCCAATTACATATAACGGTTTCATACCCAGTGACAGAATTTGCTGAGTGCATGGAAAAGTGAAAGCAGACAATTATCGACGAAATCGCGTAATTAAGTGTCTCGTTAATAAATATAATTTAAGTCATGTCGTTGTCTTAATTACCATGCTATATGCACAATATTATATTAAAGTTTATTATACGGGGCCAATTTTCCAGACGTTTCGATATAAGAGACATTTCAAGGTTTCTAAATATATGAACCAAATGTTTGCATGAAAGCACCGCACCGGGAGCTCACTGCGGAGATAAATTGTTTGATTTACCGATTGCATTCCTAGCGAAGGTCGCTTTTATGTAGTCTGTTTAATTTAAGTACATACTCTTTCTTTGTATGAGCAATTGAACTTGAGTGGAAAAATACAGAAGGATCGGGTAAAAAATCTGATCTGGAACCAGGAACCTTTCTTGGAAATGGGGTTGAAAAAGTATTTGGGTTTTGTAGAAAACAATATTGCATGTGTAGATATACATACATATAAATATATGTTTGTGATACATACGTACTATCGCACGCCAAAACTCGCCATGGTGGATGAATTAAAAGTATACATAAATACTTAAAGTACATATACCTATATATGGATTTATGCAAATATGTATTTTCCCACGCCGTAAGGAAAACTGTGGATTTCTGAACAACGTTTAGCTTCCATATGAAGCATCGACCCAGTGTTTATGCAGCAGTTATGTAAATGATATAAAATACAGTTCAAGAATTATTGAGAATTTTAGACATTTTAGTTCATACTGGACATACAAAAGGCGAATCGACATGCTTTATACAACTTTGCACTTGAATATCTCTGGTGCAAATTCGAATTTTGAGCTGATTTTCGTAGGCAAGCAAGATAATATCCTCAAAAACGTGTCTGCAAAGTTTTATTTGGATAGCTTAAAAAATGCCCCCTCCAGGGCCCTCAGAGTTGGAGGGTGCTGTAAAAACACTTTCCAAACTGCTGTTCTAATAAAATGGCGTCGAACAAAAAATTTTTTTCTGAGGTCCTAATGCAGAAATTGTCTTTGTGACTATTATCAAACGACTAAGCATACTTTTCACTATATAAAACCACATTTGGCTCATGTTTATCTTTTAAGTCCGTTTTGTAGTCTAAATTTAAATTAGCCCAAATGGAATGCGCTCGCGCACGCAACTCTTCCACTTTAAAGGCCCCTACATTTTAAGACTTTCATGCTAAAAATCCCAAACGTTGTTTTTGTCCAAGGTACAAATTGTATGTTGCAATGTAAGTACTTTTGACAAAATTTTGATAAGTGGTTACACTCCTAGAAATCAGTTCTTACCAAATCCCATCAGTTTTGTAAAAAGGTTCTCCTCAAAATCGTAGCGGAACTTTAAAATTTTTTTAATTAATCAAAACGCAGTGATTTTATTATTTTGTCACTTGTACCCTGTAGATAAAATAGTTCTGAGACAGGGGACACAAAAAAGTTATAAAAATTTATTTTCAACCAAATTTGACCATTAATTTTCCAAATAAGTTTACGAGTGTTTTAAGATTCCGCGTCAGCTGATTAGCTCGGGTCCTTTTCCAAAACTGGTTACCAAAAATCTTGACTGTTTTATTTAACATTACTTAGGACACTTCTAGCTTTACCCTCAATCTTCATTTGACCCAGTGGGTCCGCTTTCAAGGTCAGCAGGTCCATTTTCCCAAGCAAGCTCGGATTGCTCGCTTTTTGGGGGTAAATATCAGCGCTGTTGGAGGGCCCACATTATTTGATTCAGTGGGGATTCTTTCATTATTAGATACAATAATTATCTGGGGTTATAATAACAACAATTTGTCACCTCTGACCTCTTTGGTTATCATGCCACATGAATAATCACGTTTGGAAAGTTATTTTACAGCACCCTCCAACTCTGAGGGCCCTGGAGGGGACATTTTTTAAGCTATTCAAATAAAACTTTGCAGACACGTTTTTGAGGATATTATCTTGCTTGCCTACGAAAATCAGCTCTAAATTCGAATTTACACCAGAGATATTCAAGTGCAAAGTCGTATAAAGCATATCGATTCGCCTTTTGTATTCACATATCTATGTAAATATGTCTCACAAACCTATGAGTTATGCACTCTTTATTTGTCCATAAATACATAAATATTTACAACCTCAAAAAAATCAAAGAATGTTTTAGAAGGAAACATGGACAATTTTAAGTATAATATCGTTGTGAAATTTAAGCAGAATAAGATGCAGGTGGCAGCGGAAGCCGTTGGACATCTGGGGGCTTCAACATTATAGGATAGGGAAGTTTGTATAGAATTAACAGATGATGCGGACGGGGATGTCAAACAACCGTGGGGACATTGTTCCTCTCATCCACGGCCACTGGTAGGCATTCGCATGTAAATAACTCTTGTTTACTAATTTATTACATGCATAAACTAAATAATTTCTTTTAAAATCTTTACAAATTCTGAAACGTCTTGAAATTTGTTATAAAATGGATTTGGAGCAATCCGGATGCAGTTTGGGCGTCGCAAATCAGTCGTCACGCCCTGATTTCGAAGTCGATGTACGATATCCTTAACATCGCTTTTCGTATCGAGTAGAAAACTAATTTGACATCCCCTCTTTTTCAAATCTGGGGGAGATAGGATCTTTATTTTGCCTTCGACTTCTAACCCGTGATGCAACAGGAGGTACAAGTAGCCTGAAATTTTTAAATCAACTTTAATTTTGATACAGTCAAATTTACAAATTATTAGTAATTATTCAGGAAATTCACGCAGTCCGGGATAGGTAACTTTATAAAATCCTTAAACTTACAAACTTTTCTAAAATTTTAAAAATTTTTGTAAAATTATCTAACTCTCCCTCAGATCAAGGGCGTCTTTTTATTTTGTAAAAGTTTGTAAAATTATTTTACAAAAGTTGCGAATTTACAAGGTTACCAATGACTAGTGAATTGTCTCAAAATTGAGATAAGTAAGCCAAAAATGTTACTGAATGTTTTAAATATTTAAGCACGAACAATTATTTAGAGTGAATATATTTATGTAAATTTATGCAAATTTGCATTTTTTACATCAAAATTTCCTCACCGCTAAGAACCATACTCTTTTCTCGAAACTTCTCCATGGTGACTTCCTCATACAGGGCGAGACTAGCCCTCACCGCGGCCAAAGAGAGGATGGATGGATTCGAAAGCTGAAAACCTGTCGCACCCTGGGCGACAATTAAGTCGTTCTTCATCTCAAACCGCGTCCCCTTTTCGTGCGACCACCACCCGCAAAGGCGAGGTCGGCTCGTAATGCCATTCATTTTACCGTGTCGCTCATTAACAAAACATCCTCCAATTCCTAACAATTTTCGAAAATATTAATTAAAACTCTGTGTTTCGAATTTTTTCATATGAGAATTGAATGGCTCACACTTAAGTAACATTTTTATAAACGTAATAAATCCTTATAGTCATCGAAGCAATTCACGCAGTGCTTGATAACTTTGTAAAATCCGTGAATTTACAAACTTTTACAAATATTTCTGAGGAAAATTGGCATACAAATTTTTGTAAACTTATTCAAATCAAGGGCGTCTGTTTATTTTGCAAAAGTTTGTAGATAAAACTTATGGATTTTACAAGTTATCTACAGATGACTGCGTGAATTGCCTCACTGATTTTGAGGATTTTACAAGACGTGTAAAAATTTGACGTGAGTACCCCCCAATTTGTTGTCAACTAACCTCCCGGCCCAGAGTTGAGATACTTGTATGTGCACCACACTGCGAAATCGACCCCCCAATCGTGCAATTGTAGGGGCAAGTTGCCCACCGCATGGGCCAGGTCAAATCCGACGAGACACCCTTTATCGTGACCAGCCCTCGTGATTCGTTCCATGTCGAGGAGTTGCCCTGTAACGTAGTTGACGCCACCGAGGATGATGAGCGCGATGGAGTCTCCTTCAGCCTCGATAAGAGAAATAATATCCTCTTCCTGCAGGAGATACTCGTGTGGGCGTGGTTTTACCAAAAGTAAGGCGTCCTCTGGGTTAAATCCGTGAAGGGAAAGTTGGCTCTTGATGGCGAACTAAATTCATGAATGAAATTTTTAAACTTTGCGAGTAATCAATTCTTGAAATAGTTAGAAAATTGTAATATATGAATATTTTGGAGGTTATAGATGCAGAATAACTTGCAAAATTACGTCGAAAAATGAAACTTTTACATTTTATGAGTAATAAATTTCTGAAAAGCTTAGAAAATTACAATTTTAGAGGTTGCCGATGCACAATGACTTGTAAATTAAAGGTTAAAATTTTTTGTATGTATGTATATCCGGAAAAATGCAGATGCAAACATTAAAAGACTAGTTTTTACGTACACAATCTGACGGAAATGCACCCTCCTCCATGAGAATCTTGTACCGAGAATGCGTCGGTGTGTAGAATGAGATCATCATGAGGTGAAGATTTAACGTGAGGCTGTTCATCAACACGACTTCGGAACACTTGGCCCCCACGACGTTGGCCATGATGGGGACACACTCCTCGTCATACGTTACCCAGGGGTGTGGTCCAGAAAAGTGGCCTTCGACCCCCTCATCCGCCCAAAGTTGCAATTCTAGAATTTTCCAAATTGGTGAATTGTGTAAAATATGCAATTCGATATTGTTTTTCAGATTAAAGGTGATTAACAGGGTAATTGTTAATTGAGCTGGCCATTTGCAAATAATCTTAGGTTTACATACGAAATTTGCAAATACCCGAGTGAGTAAAGTTGTAATACACTCTTAGAAATCTGGTGTTAAAATAATACCAAGCGGTATTCCTGTACGACTCTACCGGTATTGATAAGTAATACGGTATAGTGATAGATCGGTATTAAAGTTTTGTCATATCGGTAACAAATTTTTACGGTCCGATATAATTTTAGTACCAAGTGGTAGCAACTTTAATTACCGAGAAAGTAATAACTTCATGATTATATTATACCAGATTTCTAACAGTGTAATTAATGAATGCTTATCATTCCATGTTTTATTTATGTACCTTCCTTGATGTAACTTATCGTAGCTTTTGGCTGCAAACCAAGCGAATGACCGCAAAAGTAAATTCCATCCTGACTTTTTTCGCAATTATTATTTTCCTCATCCAAATCAGATATTAACAATTTTTTGCCATTTTTACAAGGCTTTTTCGGAATAAAAAATTTGTCACGGAATCCCCGCAGGCCATCCAGCTCGTCCAAAAGTAATGCAACGTCGGAACCTAGGAACCATTTCTTATCGGCACGATTTATTTTAGTCGGTGACAATTTTGATGCCAGCAAATCCTCAATTTTATACATGTCAGTGAACTCGCGGAAGTGTTGAAATTGATTTGAATCAGATAATACATTAATTTGTACAGAATTGGATCGCTTTTTATACCAAATGCACATCCTGTTTCAACCCACGTAATCAAATTTTGCAATATTTAAGTACGCATTTGCCAACATTTCGCGTAAGCAATCAATCAATCAATCGATTCAAATATAGTTTTTCAGGATTGAGGAAATTTGTGTGCCTTTTACGTAAAACATTTTCCGACTTGCAATTAAATTTTGAACTTACGTAAAGTATTTATGTAACGGTAAGGGACCGTTCATTAATTATGTAACGCGAAAGGGGGTCTATAAGGTTCCAATGATATCGTGCATATTCATATGTGACACATGTTAAAGCAGGGAGGGGAGAGGGGTCTAGAAAATCGCGATGTTTGCCTTACATTATTTATTAACAGCACCTATTAATGAATTATTTTCACGAATATGAACCAAGTCACACTCAATTCGGAGATCATTGATAAATTTTGCAAGATTAATTCATGACACGTTCCTTGTACTTTTCTTGGCAGAATTGTACCTGGTATTCGTCGACTGCTAAATTTAGTGCGAATAAATATGCATGTAAATTGCTATGTACCCACTGTACACCATTCAGACTCTGTGATCTTCTGAGACAATGGAATAGCTTAGGTAATGATTTCGTCGGAAAAATAAGACGATGAGTCATTGATTCGCCACGGGTGGCAGGTTTATACACACGTAACGTTTATATAAGCAAGTAAACTGCGAGTATTTGCTCACGTAGATATTTAGGTAGATACAAGACCGAGGAGTTTTTCTAGTTTAATCAGGAAATTAAGCAATGATCATTAAATTATCATGATCAGAATTAGGATTTGCAGAAATTGGTTTTTCATTTTGTAAATTAATTGTGACGGAAACGCGTATGTTAGAAATCTGGTATTAAACTTGTTACCGATTGGTATAGTTTTAATACTGGATTTCTACGAGTGTGTGATACTTTCAGTGTCCAAATCTTCCATGCTTCCATGGATAACTTTTTTATTTAGATGCACATAAATAAGAAATATGTGATGATAAACCCTTTAGTTTTAACAATATGCAAATGATCAAATAACTGGTGCATCTTTTACTTATAGTGGTTTATTCTACAATGTAGTCAATAAAAAACAAACAACTTTTTATCCAGCTTAATTTATTTGTTCGCCTTGGCCTTATTTTCCTGAACATCCTCATTTAACGGTTGTCCCTTCGTTTCTCTGAGGAGGAACGAAACTCCCGCCCCGATTAGGCTGCATCCCGCAAAGATAAACAATGGCAAGGATGGACTTGCTACAGATTTCGAACGACACATTTGTTACCTAATTTGCATACATTTTGCACAATATTTTCAATACTTACTTGAACCTAGATATGCTAATTGAGGTGCAAGGAGTCCTACACATGACGCGGCCACGCCTACAATTCCATATCCCATATTTCTCACCGGCGTAGGGAATGATTCGCCAGTAAAAAGTCGGATGGAAGACCGACTCCCGGCCGAACAGAATTTCGCAAGCAGAAGCAAACTCTGCGTTATGTTTGAAATATCGATAACAAAATCGTCCTTGAAAATGGTCAAGATTGCGAGAGAGATTAAAAACAGGGCGGATCCAGACATGAATAGGGCGACCAAATTGCGCCGGTTTAATCTAAAATAGAGGAATTAAAAAAATATGAAGTAATTGGACGTATGTACTTAAGACAACATCTTATTTAGCATCGTAACTCATTTAGCAAATTTGCGAAGCTAAACAAATTTATGTCATGAAGGGAATGGCAAACTACGACTTCGCAAATTTCATAAGTCTCGAAAATTTACTTATACTTACAAACACCGATTTTGATTTTCCATATATTACTGTAATTTCTCTCGCTGGTGATGATAAGGAAAAGGGAAGTTTGCGAAATAATTTTGTGAAGCAAAAACATTCCCATTTTCTGGGTAAATTTGAAAAAAAATTCCATGGTCTTCAGCAAAATTATTGAGAAATGTCAGAAATTTCGCAGAAATTCGTAAGTTATGTTGCTTTGCTCAATGTACGAGATATGCGTGAGTACTTATCATAAATTTGAAAATTTCTTAGAATAAATAATTCACGACTTTATGTACCTTAAACCAATCAGATAAGCGATCGGATACGCCAATGTGTCACATAGCCCCAAAAATACAATATTTAAGTAAGCGTCTCCCCCGATATTTTTGAAGTTAAAACTAATCCCGAAGTACATAATGACCCAGGTGCACCAAACCGCAACCAGACAAAGTGTAGTCCGACGCATGGCGGCATTCTTAAAAAATTCTACATACGACATGCTTCCCGCCGGAGGCGACGCCGAATTATTTTTAGACTCGGAAATAAAATTTTCTTCACTAAGTTTCCAATCCTCGTGTCGATTTATTTTAGCGATTTGTCGAAAAACCGTGACTGCTTCGGGAATCTGCCCGTTCTTCAAAAGCCATCTCGGGCTCTCGGGAAGGAATCTGAGACAAAATATACTTAATTTAAGAAACATTGACTTTAAAGAAGACAAATTTTGCAACAAATGTTACGGAAATATCGCAAAAATTGCGAAATATGGAATCGCCGTAACGAGATAAATTGTCCTCCATGAATCCTGAAAATAGTAGCCGATCACGCCGAGCAGCATTATTCCTTCGCCAAACGGACCGAAACTCACACAAACGCTGCGCCATTTGGGCGTCAAGAATTCCATGGCGTAAGTCATCGATAAGGAAGCGTAACCTGTGCAAATATTTTGCGATTTTCAATATCTTGTGCAAATTTTTAAACTTGTTCTAACCCGAATATCCCATCCCGCATATGAATCTGGCCACAATGTATAAATACAAGTTTGGCGACAGACCGGAAATCAAGGTTCCCGTAAGAAGAAAAATTATCGTTCCCAGCAAAGTCCAACGCCTCCCATACCTTGAGTTTACATAAATATGTAAATACGTAAATCATGCTAAAAGTTAATTTTTCACGAAAACAATACTCGCCAAAAGATTGGCGATTATTGATGACTATTCAGATCATAATCTTAGATAAATTCTGAACATTTTATAATCATCGACCTTAACTACATATTTGATAAGTAACCTCACCCACCAATCTGCACAAAGTCCCGTTGCAAAGTTTCCAAACAGCATCCCCAACATGTGCATTGATGTTGAGAAGTCGGAAACCCATGCAAATTCGCAAACCAAATTCCACTTGTGCCAAAATTAAAATTAGGATTTTTTTCAGAATTGCATTTCCCAAATTACATATGTAAAGTATAGGCAGAAAGTCATTATACCCTCATACTTTATGTACATAAAGCCTCATATAGTTCGAGAAGCTTGAGAGGACGAACTGCAATTTTGCACAATTACTTACTATGATGCAAGGTTTCCGGAACCATACTTTGGATAACGGCCTGGCACAAGCAACGACACTGTGAAATTATATCCAAAATTCCGACAGGAAAAAAGTGTTTATACCCTTTGACTTTTTGGTACTTTTAATGTAATTTTTGAAAATAAAATCTTAAATCGCCCTTCTCGCACCAAATGATTCATTATTAATTGAAAAATAACATTTTTCTCATACTGAACTGGTTGTCCATTACTAAAATTAGCTCATAATCACTCAAAAACACCTTAATCCCGGCCTGAAACAAATTGTCGTAAATTTTGATGATGAAAGGCTTCGACACCAAAGAATTTCCGACTAACTACCCATTAAGAATGGTAGAGGTGCCAGAATAGTCTAGAACTGCAAAAAGTTTGGGATCGAATGGAATTTAACAGCTTTATCGTGTACATGGATGACGCCCCCATGGACGGATCACGGCAAGTTCTCCAAAAGCCAAAGATTTCACGGTTATCTCCACGAAAAATCAACTTGAAAACGAGGGAGGAATATAATCTTCGAGTTCTGTTCGAATTACAAAGGGTAGGATCGCTTAAGATGAATTTGCATAGCGAGCAACATGGAGAATTCTATTTCTCCGCGAGGCCTATATTGCAGACAGCTCTAAATGTGCTAAAAATCATGATAATTGGACGGCTAAATATTAGAAACTCCTGATATTGTTCGCCGACGTCAACATCAACCTCTTTGGTTCAAATTGGGACCAGTGGAATATGGATTCAGAAAAGAGACGCTTACAAAATCAACTACCGTACGCTAACCATTCAGAATGGGGAGGAAATCGAATTTTTTGGGCGTGACGTTATGGAAGGGCGTCCGAAACTTTAGTACAATCGAAGTAATAATGTACTCCAACTACCTCTGCGACGTTCTGAGTTGGAATTTGATGGTAACGTGAGGAAATAACCGTTGGGGAATAATTATATTTTCAAATAGTAAGGCGATCCTAAGCATACATCAAAATTATTGAGGATTTGATTTAGAACGAAGGAGGTTGAATTGTTGAATTGCCTTCCACAATCATCGGACAGCATGCTAAATGACATTTATGATCAACAATGAAACCCAAAATTTCTCAGCACACGCTATCCAACCTCAAAGGACTGGTCCTCGCCATAAGGCTTGAATAGGAGAATTAGGACACTTCTGTCACTAGCTTATTTTTTGGCTCGATGCCAAGATGTGTCTTTGCCTTCCTAAGCGATGGGGGAGGACATCCCAGGTGCTAATTTGACTGTTATTTGACACAAAAAAATTATCAACACATTTTCTATTAAACTTTAATTGGGGTATAAAGACTTTTTTCCTGTCGGAATTTTGGATATAATATCACCGTGTCGTTGCTTGTATCACGCCGTTATCCAAAGTATGGTTCTGGAAACCCTGCATCATAGTAAGTAATTGTGCAAAATTGCAGTTCATCCTCTCAAGCTTCTCGAAAAATATGAGGCTTTATGTACAAAAAGTATAAGGGTATAATGACTTTCTGCCTATACTGTATGCACCTCGACAACTATGCTAGACTTTGACGATGTCAGAGTCCCATTACAGAGACAAATATCTTCAAAAGGGATCCTGATTTCGTCACATGTCCACTCTTTCGGAGTCGCACCTGCGCAAAATCATTAAAAAATTATCAAATTTAATGACTATTCAAAATGATTAGACCTGAAATTATTGGCGAAAATATGGTAAATGCTGCCGGAACTTCGAACATCAAGAGAGCAACGAGAATACAAACTTGAAATCTTCCAAAACCACCAATCCCGTCAAAAATGTCCTCAACATTTTTCGAATCTCTGGAAATTGTTAAAGTTTTTGCAACCATTTAACCAAGTTTTGCAAAAAATGCGTGATTACATCCACTCACAAAAAATGAATCAATCATCTTTACATTCTATACGCCTACGTGACTTTGGATCTCATCTTGCAGTTGCATGTCACTCATTCAATGTTCTCACGTCAATGTCTGAATCGATTGTTTTTTAAGCAGCAAGTTTAGCACAAAATAATCATTGACTTAATCAAGTTCCTTGCGGAGAGATTCAGCATCGCACAATCTGCCAGTCGAGTGGGTCATCACCATTGTCATCTATCCAGTTAAGCCAGGCATCATCATAGTTGCAAAGTTTACTAGCAGTAGCTGCTGTTTGAATTATTTACACTTCTATTGAAGAAATGTTCTTCACAATTTTTCAAAAAAATTTATAAACGTGACTTATGATTTAGAAAATTACAAAAATGAAGAGTAGCTCATATTGTGCAATTGTGTTTCTATTGGGATTTATGCTAACACTAACATACGCAACAATTGGACGTGAAAATGTGTGTCGTACCGTACCGTTAAAGAATTGTACCTTTGTTAATGACAATGCCACTCTTTGTGGGTAAGTTTTACATAGTAAATACATAATTGTAATTTCGACATATGTAATTACTTATCTAAGGATGCGAAATAATTAAGTAAAATCCCCCAATTTTACATTTTTTTATATATCTCAGAAACATTCCAACATGTTCCGTCCCATACGACGAATTCGTCACGAACGCCCGTCTGATGGATGGGAATGCTCCCCGTGTCGAAATGTCATTCCCTTCATGGGCAAATTACAAACTTTTGCAGCGTGGCCAACGCTTTGTACAAGATCACTGGTTCAGCTTCAGTCTTGCCGCGGACATGGGACGGATGGCGAACATGGTTAATGCGGATATTCGAGACGTCGCGATGTACACGGGAGCAATGTCAACTTCACCGGTCGGGTGTGCAAAAATATTGGCGTCATTTGGCGCCAAGACGATGGTAATGTGTCCATTATTACTTTAAAAATGGGAAATCGCAATTTTTTTCAATTTTCCCAGACCTGGGCTCAAGACCTTCAAGTTGCCCCACCCACCATACCATGGAACTCGGACTTTCTCCAAAGTGTAAACCGAATTCGATGGATTCATATCAAACTTTCCCGCGACCTTTTGTCCCGTTACCGCTTAACCGGCGTTACCTCGATCGTTGACCCCGCCACTTATGAAAACATCACGACCAATGACATCGTTTGGGATGCTTTCCACCAGGATTTAGTAGACTCTAAAATTCCCGCTGAATCCAGACTAGCCCCACCAATTGTGTCTGAAGGGGACCCTTCCTCAATCCCATTTTTTAATCAGCAATCCCTCGCCTACTTTCAGTTCAACGCCTTCACGTATCCAATCCTCATGGGAAAAACGTTCGGAATTGGGGCCGTATCAGAGGACGATTTGTGGGCGTATAACCACTTATCCGCCGTTATCGGGTATACGTTCGGCTTGGATGACAAGTACAATGTGGCGATACAGCCAAACATGTCTTCCTTGAGGGAATACTATTCGAAAATTTATGACGGGATGGTGATTCCCAGTTTGTTCCATATCAATAAAAAGACTAAAGTCACGGTGGAAAATATTTTAGTGGTGAGTGAGTGGCAAAAAATAGGTCGATATAATTTTCAAAATTTAATTTTAATATCATTTTTAATTCGGAAATTTTAGGCGACCCGAATTCACACGCCTGCCTGGACTTTACAGCTTTACCTTTACCGAATTGCTACCCTCTTGGCGAACGTGCCCGCACCAAATTTAGCCAAACTGTTTAACGATCAGGATAAATATCATGACAATAATTTGAGAACCAACGTGCTGCCAAAATTATTAGTAAATCCGGCATTTCGACGAGAGACGAATACGAAAGCGATAAATGATCTGATTAAAATTGGACGAGTTTATTATGGAAATAATTACACGACCCAATACGGTCGAGCCAGGGATACATTTCTTACACCGATTAGGAATGTCTGAAGCAGAATATGGCCAGATTGATGCATATTCGAAATCAATCATATCTTATCAAGACGGATTCGATTGGTACAAAAATACATATATTTATATCTCACTTTGGTATATAAATATGCGCATGCGTAAGACTTATTAATTGACATTAATTATTACAAAATCATTGTACAATATTTGTCTTTATTTATCTACATTCATCGCAGTCCAATCGTTTCTTAATTGAATAACATTTATGCACAAATCGTAGCTTGTGTTAACACAGATTAACTTCATTCAAGTAATTACTGCAGCACTCTTAACTAAATACGCATATTGAAAATAATTGAGCATTTATGTATTGTGTACGAGTCTTTATTTTACTAACTGTGCTACATGCACAATTCTAATCTTTGTAATAAACACGTGTTAAGGATTAGGGTCAGTGCGGGTTAGTGTGGACACTTTTGAGGAAATTAAAATTGTTTTATAGTATAAAACTGGTTGTATTGTAATATTGATTATTTTAACATAACTACACAATGAATTAACCATCACACTTTATATTATGGGATTATAACTTTGAAAAATATAATTACTATTTGTGGTAAATAAGTTTGAAAATAAAAAAACAGGCGTCCACACTAACCCCACGAAATGGGGTTAGTGTGGACACTCTAACCTGTTAACATGGGGAATCGACTGTCCACACTAACCCCTTTTCAAAAAACTCAAAATAAACTCAAAAATTGTCCTTGATTTTATTTGGGGCGAAATAATTTCTTGTTTTTCTTCAAATTTATAACTCAAAGCAAGGATGAGTGGTAGTACAAGATTAAATTTTTTATTTTGAGAAAATATGATATTTTCATGTAGAAAAGTCCACTGTCCACAATTGCCTCGTGTCCACACTAACCCGCACTGACCCTATATAAATGTCGTCCGAATTCCCCATTGAAATACATAATATGTATTTGAAAATTATGCAAGTACATACATATATGCAGAGCAGAATAGCACGTGTCGTGATATTTTTTGTCGCCACGACTTAAAATGTGTGATCTAGTCACGAGCCACGAATCACGGCAGCATCTTTCATATCCAGGAGTAAACCGTGCCAGGAATTTAATTTTTGCAACTAGAATTGCAATTCCAAGAAAATGATACGTGCTTATGTACATTTTAACATTTGTCACTTGCCTCGCACTTGACTTTGCTCAGTGCAAATTTTTGCAAGGTAAGATCCCCAGTCTTCACGATTGAATGGAATGAACACCTGTCAAAGATGCATTTCATTGCAAAAAAAATTACTAATAGATTTCATAGCTTTAATATATCATCATTGACATTATTGTTCTTATTCATCGCTGTATTTCCGATTGCACCAATTTCTGTAAAAATTGTGACCTACTCGTTAAAAACGTATTACATTGATTTTGCTCCGGATGGGGTGGCGAAAAAAGTGCTCACTTTCAACGGTCAATTTCCTGGCCCGACGCTACACGCGGCAAAAGGTGACCTCCTTTCCGTTTCGGTGACCAATTTGATCCAGGACTTTCAGACGACGACGATCCACTGGCACGGGCTGGAGCAGTACCTCACCCCTTTTCAAGATGGACCCAGGATGATCACGCAGTGTGACATTCCATACAATGCGACACACGTTTACAACATCCCGCTCAAACAATCGGGAACTTACTGGTACATAATTTTGAAAATGTATTTTTTGCCTGAGTCAGAGTTTATATAAATATTTATGATGTCTGTCTGTCTATCCGGCTTGACCTTTTATCTCAAAATTTTGCACAATTTTTAATAAGCGGAGGATACATATATAGAGTTCATAAATGAACTGCAGTGGTCGAATGGGGATCATGGGGCGACAAATTTAAAAAATACCTTAGAAACGTGAAATTTAGCCGGATGTATGTAGCGGTGACATTGCCCAGAGCTCGGGCTATATGAAGTCTGCACCGTAGGTTTTTGTAATTTAGTTTCTCTCGGCACGGAGTTTTAAAACCTTGTAAGGCTTTTTAATCCTGTAATTTTCTATAAATTTAATAAATTCATCTTGCACGCCAAGAATAACTTTATGAGATTAAGATGCGACAAATTTAAGAAAAGTTTCACATAAAAAATTTTCACAATTTTACTATTTTTATTCCAGGTACCACGCCCATCACACCGGCCAGGCCTCTGAAGGCCTCTGGGGTGCCATCATAATCGACAACACTCCCGCCGAGGTTCACCGCTACGATGGCGAATTCCTCCTCGCCCTCTCCGACTGGTATCATAAACCCTCCCACGAATTGGCTAAATGGTACATGGATTTGAAAAAGTCCCGCGGCGGGATCCCCATTCCGGACACTGGATTAATCAACGGGCTCGGAAACTATCCATGTACCGCGGCACGAGATCAGGGATACTCATGCAATCTCACCTCACCCCAATATAAAGTATTTGAAGTTGAGCGGGGGAAAACGTACCGATTTCGGGTTCTAAATTCTGCGACGATTGTCCTATTCGCCATTTCGATTGACGGCCACAAATTGGAAACCATTGAAACCGATGGCGTCGACACGATACGAGTGGCGGGAGTTGATCGTGCCACAGTTTCGACGGGGGCCCGGACCTCGTTCCTGGTCAGGATGGATGGCAACCTGGACCAATATTGGATTCGGATTTGGACAGATTTGGCTCCGTATAAGACGACATATGCGAATATTAATCCCAGGCCGGATATCTACACTGGAGACCCGTACCTTTATGCGGTTCTGCGATATAAGGAAAATGCAGCGAGGGGAGTGCCAGATACTGAAGTGAGTGAAGGTGTAAATGAGGGGGCAGTTCAAGGAAGGCCGGACAGTCATGGAGGAACTCAAGGTAAGGTAATTACGTGTTTCATGTTGGAAAGATTTTCTGCTTTTCGTGAAAACTTAAGATCGGGAATTTTTAAAATTATGTACATCGGGCGTCTTATTTCGCATCACAACTCATTTAACAAACTTGCGAAGTTCAAAAAATTTATTTGCATAATATGAGTTTGAAAATTTTGCAAATCCGTACAAAACAGTTTTTTATGCAATTTCTAGTTTCTCAAGCATTTAATACAGAGGAAGAGTTCGCGAAATAATCTTACGAAGTAAAAACATACCCAATTGCTCAGTAAATTTGCGTAAAAATCCTATGATTTTGCAGCAAAAGTTTTGCAAAATCTCGAAAATTTCGCAGACTATGCACGTTATGCTGCTATGCTAAATTTGTGGGATATTCGATGCTTGACGGGAGTTTGTGCATGCAAATTTTTGAAGTTCCACCTCTTCGTTTTTCAGATTGGGACTTTCCAACTTTTCCACTCCAAAAGGGAATTCAAATTGAGACAATAAATGGCCAAGCTACTTATCAGGATCCAATGATTGTTCCCCTGGCTACACCCCCGTATCCCTCAACGACGCCAACCCAAAATCCCGTCACACTCAAACACATGGATTGCCTGCCCTTCGGATCAGTCACTGCGCCCACCAAGGTCAACCAAGTTATTCGAATACGCATCCCATCCGTCGATAACCCCGCCAACACGGTTAAACCGGGTTTCAATAATATCCCTTTTTCGACAAATGATCTCGATAAGCCCGCCCTCGTCAAGGTTATCAATGGAGAAAAATTGCCAACCGCACTCAATCCCATCGAGATCAAAGGCTTCGGAGAGAATTATGTACGTGAGAAAAAGTTTGAAAAAAACACTCCGATATTCCTGTAGACTACGTACATAAGACCTACAAAATTTTTCACAAATTTGCAGAAATTAAGAAAATTGGGATACAAATGTACTGCAAATATATTAATATTTGTAACGCGGGTATTCACGACAGGTTCCCATGTTCGTATCGAAACATAATTTGAACAAAATCCTCAAATGAATTTTCAAGCCAAATTTTTTGCGAACTTTTTTTTTGCTAAAGTTCATGTTAACGTTTGCTAACGTTTTTTTGCTTATGCGCAAGCTTGTAATGAATACCCCAAAAATTTTGTAAAATTATTTTGCAAAAGTTACGCCGTTTACTAGATTGCAAATATCAAAATTAATTTATAATTTTTGATAATGATCATAATTTGTTATGATTATGATTTTTTGCATAAGATACATATACATACATTACAGATGTATGAATACAATTCTACTTTCCGTAACGAATTAAAATTTCCTGCACAATTTCTTAGGTAGTCGAACTGATAATTGACGACTTTGGCGATACTGGACACCCCCTTCACCTACACGGACACACCTTTTGGGTCATGGGGTTCGGGTTGGAGGGCGACGGACCGTTCAACGAGACGCGTCATCGTCCCATTCTCCGATCTGGGGTGCGTCGAGAGACCATTGCGGTTCAACCAGGGGCGTGGCTCGTGATTCGTTTTCGTGCCGATAACCCCGGCGTCTGGCTGTTCCATTGTCACATGAACTTCCATTTCGAAGCTTCCCTCGGACTTGTGCTTATTTCGGGACGAAATTTAGTGGAGCAGACTAAAATACCGCAAGACATGAAAGCGTTGTGTAAGAAATCGGGAATTACTTTGGAGAAGAGAGTCACTCCAGTGTTTGACCCATGCGACTTTGTCAACTTTCCGGCTAAAGATTGGTTCGATTTTATGCAGAGAAAATTTACGTGTTTATTTAATGGACAGTATTAATGTGATTAATGTCTATTTATGCAATCAGTCATACTTATTTATAAATACATATTTAAGGTTACATAATCATTATTTAGTGGTTACAAACATCGGGAATTAAAATTTTAAGTGCAATAAATAAATTTCAATTTCAATTTAAACATGTCAATACTTGATTTATGTAGGTAGTACATACGGTAGTATACATACACACATATTTTCGTTCGTATGTATACGTACATAAATTCGTAAAAAATGATGTGCATCATACCATGTACTTAATACAAATTAATAAACGCTAATTCAGGCCCCGTTTTAGCTATAGGCAACCGCGTAGGGCGCCAGATTTTTAGGGGGCGCCGGTAGGCGCCCTTATACACTAGATAAAACCAATTTGGCGGAATTTATAATTTGTCCTGGAAGAGAACATAGGAAAGACTGATTTTCACTGAAATCTCTGGTATAAAATTCGATTTGTACATATTGTTCAGCCAGTTGTTCATTACCCCTAGTATTCAATTATTTTTCAGCGATTAAAAATATTAAATTAAATTAATTTAAAAAACGTTAATTTGTGGAAGTGCACTTACAATGCAAGTCTTTTATGTGTGCAACTCAGATCTGGTTGGGATCAATTTTATTTTGTTCCCCACAAAAAATAAGCATACCTGCATTTTTTCATTTTTCATAATGCGCTAATTTGAGCGCGAGGCGCGAATTTTGAAACATTTTTCAGCCAAAACCTCGATTTTTAAAAATTCCGTAAATTTTCGAATTTTAGCGTGAATCCAAAAATTCGAAAACATGTCTCTTCAGAATGATTTACTTGACTTATGAAAAATCCAATTATCTAGAAATTTGAATTTCAAAATTTTTTGCCAGTTTTTGAAATTCATTAAAATTATAAACTCTTTCAAATTTTTACTTTTTCAAAAAATAATTTATTTGGATTTTTTATCCAAATAATTGCGCTCAAATCAACGCATTAGGAAAAATGAAAAAATACGCGTATGCTTATTTTTTATTTTTTGTGTTTTTTTTGTATTACAAAATAAAATTGGTCCCAACCACATCTAAGTTGTACACGTAAAAGACTTGCATTGTTAGAATGCATGTCTTTCAAGTGTAAAACTGAGATTTACTTACATACGCTGGCCCCAGACTTTTCATTTCACCATGACTTGCTGCCCTAGTCAGAAATTTTGATTGGCTAATCAAAAATATCACCACGACAATCCAAAATTCGGATTGGGGCAGCAAGTGAAGATAAAATGGAGTATGGATCCAGCTATAGGCCCAATTTTAGTTTGTTCACCACAAAAAATCAGCGTACCGTATTTTTGTATTTTTCATAATGCGCTAATTTGAGCGCGAGGCGCGAATTTTAATTTGTTTTCCAGCCACAACCTCAGGTATTCAAAATCCTCTAACTTTTGGAATTTTAACGCGAATTAAAAAATTCGAAAACATTTCTCCCCAAGAAGACTTACCTGACTTACTAAAAATCCATTGTCGTGAAATTTGAATTTCAAGAACCTTTTGCCCGTTTTTGAAATTACGAAATGATTAATTATCGTAAATTTTAAAATTTTCGAGAGTAATTGCAATTAGATTTTTAATAAATGTCATTCTGGAGAGACATGTTTTCGATTTCTTTAATTCGCCCTAAAACTCGAAAAGTTAGAGATTTTGAGATTGGTTTTGCCTAGGGCGCCACATTGCCTAGAACGGGGCCTGCGCTAATGTAAATACGTTCTTGAACCAGCAGTACTTATCCTTAGTATACATATTTTAGGTTTTTAGCAAATTTAAAGCCTTCTATTATAATCAAACACGCAAGTACATATACACTCGGACCAAGCTGAACTATTTAATTCCAAGTATTGGTCGAAGTTGAAATGTTTTTTAAAATATTGAGATTAAAATTCTAATTAATTAAGAGCTGTATAAGTACATATTTACTTACGCAACCAGCATGCATTTGTAAATCCATACAACCCAATATACATACACCGTTTAATTTACCACCGCCAATTTGATGGAATGGAAGGCATTTGTCATGTCACATGCAAATATTTTCAGGCATAAGTACATCGATAGTTTCAATCCATACTGTGCATACATATTTAAGTTCCTAAATTGTTAGAAATAAATTTAACAAAATATACAAGGCTTGTCTCTCAACAATGCGGACAATTCAGGGATTGTTACTTTTCCTTTTATCCTTTCTTCGCGTCGACGCTGCTGACACAAATTACCACGAAAGTCGACCCCATTGTATCAAGTATATACTAAAGCATATCGGTGAAAACTTCGAAATTCAAATTTTTTCCGACCGTGGCATGACCTCTGAGGAATTCCCATTAACTTACTCTTCCCCCACGACAATAATTTACTCCACTACGTTGAATTTACAAAAAGAAAAGATATTTAAAGAAGCACAATACTCTTTAAATATCTATAGAACACGATTTCAACCGTATAAGACAAGCCTCAACCTGTTACAACAATTTCTTAAAATCCCAACACCACCATCCCTCAATATTAACGTGTCTTTTCACAAAAACTTTGTCCGGTTGACCGAGGCCGCCACCGTGGATCATTACTACTTCAAAGACATGAAACCAATTTTGACGGAACGACGCGGCTTAAAATTGAAACGCGAATATATAAAATCTACCCGAAATACGTTTCTATTCCTGGCAACATTTTTAACGAAGAGTGATCTTCACACGATAAAATTTGTTCCACATTATATTCTAGATTATGAATTAGAGAATTTTGCATTTATCAATTTACTACCCCGTCAAAATAATCATACTTGGTATGAAATGTGTGCCGTAATCGCGGGTAAGGACCCAGCCATGAATACGACACAGTGCAAATTGTTCCAATCCGGTGATAATTCGAGTGTTATGCAAAATTTCTTGAAAATGAGGATTCTATTTCCCACCTCGCCAATTTGGTCTTTCAGCGACAAATTCAACGGGGCTAAATGGATCTTTTTAATCCAGGAAACAGATATTTTAAACCCGTTTGATCGCAACGTGAATCTTTATGCGCCTTGGTACATCGGACTGACAATTCTTAAACGAAGCAACGCAAGTCTGACACGGTACGGTGGACAGGACAGGTTAGTCATGTTTGCGGAAGAGAACATAGTAGAATTAACCGGCCTGTACGAGGTGCTTCACCAAGTGGCAATGACAAAGTGGCGCGGATTTCAATTTGTGTCATGCTACTCGCACAAGTATATTTCTTTTTCGTTCTATATCACGCCATTTCAGCCAGCCACGTGGTATTTCATCTTGCTCAGTCTGGTATCGACCATTTCGGCGGTGTCAATTTACATGAAAATATATGCGAGAGATGTGTCCCCCTCTTTTTCACCGTGGTTATCCTTTTTCGCAATGCTGCTCGAAGACTCGGTCACAATTCCGGCAAAATTAGCACAGAGTGGATTTTACCGAAGTATTTTTACCCACTGGGGCCCGGTTGCGGTTCTCTTGTCAAATTGCTATACTGGATTAATGATAACGGAACTAAATGCCCCCTTGAAAGGGTGGAGACCAGAAAGTTTTGAAGATTTAGTGTGTGACAAGTCCCACCGGTCATTGTTTCAAGGGATTCATGGGGTTCTGGTGAACAAAACGGTATTAAAATTTAACGCGCGAAAATATTCTATTAACATATCAAGAGATGAACCTAAACCGAACAGTATGGATAACAGCGGCTTATCCGTGCGCGACGAGTGTTTTAACGTTTTATCAATTCCGGAAAAAAGTAAACTGGAATTTGCGTACGAACATCCATACCCATTGTTAGAAGCTGAATTAGCCACTGATTATTATTTTCAGATAGCATATAGTTCTGAACAAACGCCACTAACTAAGGACAGATTGATCCAATATATTATTTACGAAACGATGCCAATATTTCCACGTCGTTTCCTTAATAGAGATAGAGCATCGATATCATTAATGTATCCAGAAATTTACCGAAAACATGCAGAAGAGGAGGTTGCGAATTGTGAAAAGAGCGTATTTGTAGGTAATACGGACACCGTTAAGTATGAGATGAAGCACCTAACAAGAAAATATCCAGGGAAGAAATTTATCATGGGGAAGAAAACGATGGACGAACGAATGATTGGATGGACATTCAGGGGAAATTCTAGATCAGCAGTGAGACGAAATTTCTATGGAATTGTGGAATCTGGAATTTACAAAATATTGGAAGAAGAGACTTATTCGAGAATGTATTTGTACTGGGGGAAGAACAAAGTAGTCAATAAGACCGAGTTACAAAGCAATGTCGAAATTCAGGTAAAGTTGGATGGGTCAATCTTCACATTGTTTATTTTATGCGGCATATTTTTAGCTGTTTCCTTGATCTGTGTAGTCGTAGAAAATTATGGAAGAATTTGGCATTTCAGTATAGCTGGGTGCACGTTATGTTGCAATAAGGTGAGGAAGGTAAGGGCCAGATATTTAGGGAAAAAGCGGAGAAAAGGTGACTGTACAAAAGTGTACATATCTATTTGCATATGAGTAAGAATTAAATAATTCGACAAGCAGATCCGCCGACTATTTCAAAAGTGGAAATACTCTATTGGATTATGTTCCCCATATGAAAAGAATTAAAACTTAGCAATTTTTTCGGGCGCCAAAATTTCCCTTGGGGGGTTATGAGAATAATGGGAGATTCATATGGTGCACCTAGGGCACAGCATATCTATGGAACGGGTTGATGAAATTTCAAAAACAAAATTTTGTTAGACTCGAAAGGTCACAATGTCAAAGGTCACATTGAACCATAAATGGGGTATCGTTGGAAAGGTATTGGCGAGAGGATTCAGAATATGTATACTTTGTGGGGTCTGAGACCACTCCCCGCAAACATAGAGCCAGAAGAATATTTTTGAATTTTTCCCATGCATGCTTCCGTGTTAGCTCCCAATCCACTGCTGTGTTAAATTCTGGACAACTGTCGATTTTCGCTCGTTTGCCTCTAGACTTGCAGGGAGGGATTTCAGACCTTACCTTAGAGGGAGGGATAATACCTTTCCAACGATACCCCATTTATGGGGCAATGTGACCTTTGACATTGTGACCTTTCGATCCCCGGAAAAGGTCACGCAGGTCGATTTCGACTTTTTGAG